AAAATACAGTGCATGATATGCGTGTGATCCCGTCATTTCTTTTTTTCACCATGTTTTTTTTTATTATTTATGTACAGCCTTGCTAAATCTTGCTAAGCTTTCAAAAGAGAGAATGTTTGCACCTGTTATCTATATTTTAAAATCGTTTTTGAGTATATTCCACTATTCACAATTCTACAAAATTTCAACAGTCTTATAGCCAAGACTTTTTGGATAATAAAAAGCAAAAAAAAAAAGATATTCACTCCCAAGTGCCCACGAACCTGCATCTCTACCTTAATGAACATATCTTGGCTAGTCATCATGACGTACAACGGTGAATATTAGACTTGCAGCGCAGTACATTAAAAGTGCGTTAACCTGGGATAGTTCAGATGTTACACAACACCAGTGGTTAATAAACGAACACATTTCACAACAGATTTAGTTTTACCATTCTACGTCGTCTTGACATTGGTAATTGAAATATAGTGTAATTTAGCGAAAGGACATCATTTAATTTTTTAATATATATTCTAATAATTACCAATGTGAGTACGTGTATGCGACTGTAGCAATCACGGGGAAACAGTTATGAATTAACAGTAGTCCAGATTACGTTACTCATATGTTGAGTGTTTTGCTCTAGTTGTGCGCCTATACTGTATATGTACTCTGATATCTTTATGTGATGAAATAGGGTGAACATTTCTCAGTTTATGTAAATTTATACATGATTATCTGACATTTTGTCTTAGTCATTAAATATATCAAGTTAGTATATTTTAACTCAAAATCGTGCAAGAACCATTACATAATAGTGACGATTCAACTCTAGCAATCTGATAATAATTCATCTAAACCCACTACACAAGACGATTGATACGGTACAGTTGAATGTACACAAAAACAATTGAGTGTCTGCCAATAGATACAGAGACATTGGCATTGTTTCCGTTTTGCACATTGCACGGCGTACCGTAGGTGTTTGAATCTTATCACTAAAGTAATAGTACATTCCCATACTCCCAGTCAACAAATATACTTTTTTTTCATCACCCCTATAGAAGACAGTAATAAGAGTGTAGTTGTACTCACGTATTGTTATAAATGCTGCTCACTTTGAATAATACGGAGAAGACGAGAAACACGTGTAGTTTCCATGCCATGGCGATACATTGAAAGTAGGAACGAATACTGTATTATGAAAGACCAAGCTAGCAAGGTATAAAGCATAAACGAGTCACGTATCAGTGACGTCATATATACAGTATTCCAGCGTTATCTGACTGTAATTGCAGGGATATAACATTCAGATGTGGGTTGAAAAATGCGCAGCACATTAAGAATTTAGTGAGTTTGATTAGCAAACAAGTAGACAGTACAATCATTACATAAACATATTTAAATAACTGAATCACGTACCATTAGAATAAGCAATTATTAATAACCTATTCATAGACAGTTACATCCCTGCTGCACTTCCTTGTACTTCCCATGAAAAAGTCGTACATAGAACGTAGGTAAGGTTAACACACGCTCTCTCCATATATACAATATATCCGTACCTCACCTGTTACCGTGTCAACACCATTCTTTCAGATTGCT